CCCAGACCCACGCCGCAACCGCGGGGTGCCGCAGCCTCCCGCCAGCCCCAGGCCACCCTGCGTCGGACCCCGTTGATCTGCAGCGGCTTGACATGACGAACCGGGAGAGAGTGGGATTTAACAGAAAAACCCACAAATGTCGCCTTTGCCTCCAAGGGAAACGCACCGAAGAGCAAAAGAGCCCCCAGAGCCCGGCCTCGACGGGCAACGTGCCCACGGGGACCCACCACCCCGACGCAGCGGACAGAAAGGGGACACCAAACCGGGGAGGAAAACTTTATTTGTGGCTGGTTCTGGCTGGGAGCAAGCAGGAACAGCAAATCAATTCTCCTTCATTAGCGCTTAATTTTTCCCTCGATATTATTAATACCGGGGGCGGATATGAGACCTGGCAAGGGGTTTCTGGAGGCGGCGCGGCCGGGGAGGAGCCATCCGGTGGATCCAGGCTGGGGCTCGGGGTTTGGGCTGGGGTCGGAGTGAGGGGATGTCGGGGAAGGTCCGTGTGTCCTGTCCCCCGGCGTCCCCCGGCGCTGGGGTCTCACCTTTCCAGCCAGCCCCTCTGAGGGGAGACCCCGGCGCCATCACGTCGGCAGGGACGGCTTGATGTGCTCCTCGGTGGGCTGCAGGACCTGGCATGAGACCCCAGGGACGGGGATTGGGTCAGGCCGACCTTGGGGTGCCCTTCCTGGCCAGATCCCTGGGTTCCCTTGGCCGGGGAGGGGGGGCACACCTCCTGCTGAGCAATTAGGGGTGTGTGGGACCCCGTGCTGGGGTGACAACAGGATTGGGACCCAGGGTGTGTCCCATCTCCATCCTGCTGGGTAAAGCTGGGCAACACACCCCCTCGTTAGCGAGGCTAACGAAGCGCTTACCTGGGACATGCTCCGCTCAGACAGAGGGTTGTCGTCAGCCTGGGGGAGGGAAGGGGACCAGCAGCTTTAGGAGCGGGACGATGGGGAGAAGGGGACCCGCTGGGTGCCCCGACATGGGGAGCATCCCCTCGGCACCCATCCTGCTCGGTGCCCATCACCCACGAGGCTGCCGCGGTTGGAAGCTTTCCGGCAGCGGCCGCACCTCAACCCCAATCCCGGCACATCCCGGCCGGACCCCCGGGTGCGGGGAAGGGTTTGCACCTCCTCGGCGCTGCCTATTCGTGGCCGCCGGCGTCCCCCGCGTCCCTCCGCTCCGAGCCGCCCGCCAGGTAGTCGAAGAGGACGAAGCCGTACGCCGCCGGCTCCGGGGCCTGAGGGGGGAGAGAGGCTGAGGAGGGTGGGGAGAGGCAGAGGAGGGTGGAGGAAGGCCACGACGCGGGACGGCCGCACTCACCCGCAGGCTCAGCCGCTGGATCACTTGCTGGGGGTCGCTCTCCAGGATCACCCTGCGGAGCAGCGTGCTGCTGGCACCGTTCCCACCGGGATCCCCCTGGCACGGCTCCCTCCTGATCCCGGCTGCACCCCACCGGGCATCACCTCCACCGAGGCCCCGTGCCTCGGTTTCCCTCCCTGTGCAAAACTCTGGGGTGCCCTGACGAAAGCTTGAGAAAAAGCTGCTGCAACGGTGGCAAACCAGGGTGCCCAGGTCCCCCTTGGCACCCTGAGATGGGCCAGAGATGGGGCCATCCCCTTCCCGGCACCCGGGGGGATGATGCCACCCCCTGTCCCTGCAACCCCCCGGTGCTGCGGGCTGCTTCTCCCTCTCCGTTCCCCCCCAGCAGGACCTCACCCCCTGTCCACGATCTCGTCCACCACCAGGAACGTCCCCTCCATGTTGTCCAGCAGCCAGCGCTTCTCCACCTCCTTCCTGCGGGCGAGCGGGTGGGAGACGTCGCTGCACCCACTCCCAGCCAAGGCCTGGGGTCCCGTGCAAGGTGCTGGGACCCGCACCCCTGTCATCCCAAAGCAGCGCTGGCCCCGTCCCACCCGGGGCGTTAGGGGACAGGGGTTTCACGCCAGCTCACGGTGTCACCTGGAGTGAGCTGCTGCCCCGCGTCCTGCCTCAGTTTCCCCACCTGAGGCACGCGGGTTTGGGGCCGGGTGGCCCCGGGGACTCACCGTAGGAGGTGGCCCAGGGCGTCGAGGAGGCAGGCGAGCACGGCCGACAGCATCAGCTGCAGGAGAACGGGGGCGTCACTGGGGCTGCGGGGGGGCCCTGGGGCTGCCCCAGATCGGA